CGGCTCCAGCTCATGCAGGCGGCAGTGGAGCAAGTCCAGTTCTGGCATGGGCCAGAGGAAGGAGGAGAGGGGGCCTGTGGCATCCCTCCTGCTCTGGGCTGGGGCTGCCATGCCATGCCAGACAGCCTGGTCACAGCACCTCCCAAGCCCCAAGCAGCATCTCCTGGCCACCCCGCCCCCGTGAGCATGGGCATCAGCCTTGGTGCCGCCAGGCCAGCCACGCAGCTCTCCCCTGCCTGCTTCCCCCGCTGGAAGGGGCAGGTGCCTTCCTGCTGCCCCTCTGCCCTGCTATAGTCTCAATGCTTTCCCAGGACTTTCTTGCAACCCTTTGAAATATTCTTGCAACCTACTTTTGGGTTACCATCCACAGGTTGAGAAACGATGGGGTAAAGCATTCAAGAGCTCAATTTCTATTCCAAGTAAGTGGCACAACTCTAGGCACATGGAGTGTCTGCTTAGCAAATACACATACATCACTAATATTATATATGTACACATTTATCTATGTGTGTGATTGTAGATTTACAAGTACACAGGTGGAAAGAAACATTTAAGCTGTATAAATATGTATATTTCTGGGGCTTGAATTAAGCTTTAAGACCAGATGATATGGGATATAGATAACTGGCTAGATCTGTTTGCCTCTGAGTCACTGGTATGAATTTAGCCTACTCTGAGCATTCAGAAAAATGATTACTATTTGACAGTTGCCTGCTGACATTTGTAAAAGCAGTTCTATTTTCTATTGAACAGGTGTCCTCATCTAAATCACACCTGTTAATGACCTTGGTTAAAAAAAACAAACAAAGCAAAAACAAAACCCAGGAAGGGACGTGGTTTTCATGGGGGACCTAAATTACCCTGACATCTGCTGGGAGGAGCAGTCAGCCAAATCCAACCGCTCACATAGGTTCTTAACCTGCGTGCAGGACCTTCACCTAATGCAAGAGGTATATAGTCCCCTCTAGGGGGAATGCCTTACTGGACCTGGTGTTGGCTACGGAGGAGGACCTGGTTGGGGAGCTGCCGATTTGTGGTCACCTTGGGGACAGTGACCACTAATTAATCGGATTCACCACACGGTGTAGGGTGGGTAAGATAACTAGTAGGGTGGAAGTGCTGGACTTTAGGAAGGCTAACTTCAGTGTGCTTAGGAGTCTAGTTAATGATGCACTGCAGGATAAAAGTATTGGCGAGATGGGAGTCCAGGAAGGGTGGTCGTTCCTAAAGAAAACGATCCTTTGGGCATGGAGGGAGACTATCCCAGTACAAGGGAAAAGGGGGAAAGGAACCAAAAAACTTCCTTGGCTAAACAGGGAAACCAGGGGAGCCTAAGGGCAAAAAAGAAGGCATATAGGCGGTGGAAGCAGTGGGAAGCTACCAAGGAGAAGTATACCTACTTGGCTGACACTTGCAGGGAGGCAGTTACAAAAGCCAAAGCAACTACAGAGCTGAGGCTGGCAACACAAATTAAAGACAACAAAAAGTCTTTTTTAGGTATGTAGGGAATAAAAGAAAGGCGCAGGGCAGCATAGGACTCCTACTGAACAAGAAGGAGCAATTAGTGACAGACAGGGGGGATATGGCTCAGCTCTTCAATGAGTTTTTCGCCTCGGTATTCCTGAACACAGCTCAAGATAAGTCTCTTAATGGGTTCTTAGATGGGCAGAGGGACACCAGCCCACCAACTGTCAGCGCTGACTTGGTGCAGTCACTTGAATGGACTGGATGTGTTCAAGTCAGCAGGCCTGGATGAGCTGCATCCGAGAGTACTGAAGGAATTGGTCGGTGTCATAGCATAACCACTGGCACAGCTGTTTCAGTGCTCATAGTGCTCGGGTCAGGTCCCAGAGGACTGGAAAAGGGCCAGTGTGGTCCCTATTTTCAAGAAGGAGAGGAAGGAGGATCCGAGTGATTATAGGCCAGTCAGTCTCACCTCCATCCTTGGAAAGATCTTTGAAAAGATTATGAAGGATCATAGTTGTGGGAGTCCAGCAGGAAAAATAATGCAGCAGGGAAATGAGCATGGATTTGTAGCAGGTAGATCATGCCTGACCAATCTGTTTTCATTTTATGACAGGGTCATAAAATGCTTAGATGCAGGAATAGAGGTGGATGTCGTTTTCTTGGATTTTAGCAAGGCCTTCAATACAGTATCTCATCCTATTCTCATAAATAAATTAAGAGGCTATGACAGATGTTTACATGGTCCGGTGGGTGGTAAATTGGCTTGGGGGTTGTACCCAGAGAGTGGTGGTAGACTGGTCAGTATCGACCCGGAAGGATGTGGGCAGTGGGGTCCCGCAGGGTTTGGTCCTTGGACTATATTCTTCAAAATCTTCATCTGTGACTTGGATGTGGGTGTGAAATGTACTCTGTCCACGTCTGCGGATGATACTAAATTGTGGGGTGAACTGTACACTCTGGATGGTAGGGAATGATTGCAGGCAGACCTGGACTGGTTAAAAAAGTGGGCAGTAAACAATAGGATGCAGTACAACAAGGACAAGTGCAGAGTGCTGCGCCTAGGGTGCAAAAATATCCAGCACACCTACTGGCTGGGAAATGACCCTCTCAGCAGCACAGAAGCAGAAACAGATCTCAGAGTCATAGTGGACTCCAAGATAAACATGAGCAGTCAGCGTGACGAAACCAGCAAAGCTAACTGCATTTCATCATGCATTAGCAGATGCATGACGAATAAAACCAGGGAGGTGATACTTCCCTTCTATGCGGCATTGGTCAGACCGCAGTTGGAGTACTGCATCTAGTTTTGCGCACTGCACTTTAAGAAGAATGTGGATAACCTTGAGAGGGTCCAGAGGAAGGCCACTCATATGGTTAAGGGTTTGTAGGCCAAGCCCTATGAGGAGAGACTGAGGGACCTGGATCTCCTCAGCCTCCACAAGAGAAGGCCGAGAGATGATCTTGTGGCCACCTACAAATTCATTAGGGGGATGGGGCAAGAGATCAGCGATGCTCTGTTCACCAGGGCACCTCTTAGGGTAACAAGGAATAATGGCCACAAACTGACAGAGAGCAGATTTAGGTTAGATATCAGGAAAAACTTCACTGTAAGGGTGGTCAAAATTTGGAACGGGCTTCCAAGGGAGGTGGTGCTCTCCCCTACCTTGGGGGTCTTTAAGAGAAGGCTGGATAGGCATCTGGCTGGGGGCATCTGACCCCCGCACTCTTTCATGCTCAGGGCAGGGGGATAGACTCTTTCCTGCCTAGGCAGGGAGTTGGACTCGATGACCTGTTGAGGTCTGTTCCAACCTTAGCATCTATGAATCTATGAAGTGAGAATAAAGCCCCCATGAAGCACTTTCCTAAATGCATGGTTGTATAATGTGGAAATTACAACATTACTTGCACTGTACCTTTTAGGACTTCAATTTTGCCTTTTTAAAAGAAAGACTAGTACAGCCTAAATTTGCATTTCTGATATAGATGTGAACAGACCATATTACCTTCTGAACTATGTAATCTTAAGTAGGTTCACCTTATTTGTAGAAGTTGTTCATATTTCACCCAAACAACTACAAAAAGGAATGTAAAATACTTATACATGCATAAGCAGGTTTTAGAAAGATCAAGTCATTGGTTTAACTGGCAACAATATTATTCTAAAATTTCTATCCTGAAGCTAGAAATCAACAAGAAGTCCCATAGTACTACATCTGCCACTGCACAATCACAATAAAGAACTGAAGGCTTTAATACCTTTTTTGCACTTTCAGGTCCTGCTTCATCGAAGCGAAATCTGACAATACGGAAATCTTTGCAATAAATAATTAATTCCGTTGGATTAAATTTAAGTTTCTGATTGGGACCAAGGACCTTCTGTTTCCTCTTTGTGTCATTTACTGAAAGAAAGAGAATTTTATTTTTTTTTTAAGGATAGACAAAATATTTATACAGCAAAAATACAGCTAGCAAGATGCATCCTTCCTTTCAAGCTGTTTGGCATGAATCCTCCTGATAAAAACATTTTAAAATGATGGACTATTGGAATGTCATTAACTGCAAATATACAACATTATCCTTATTTGCTCAGTCTATTCCTGCCATTGGTTAAGCATTCCAGTTTGGCTCCTTTGCTATTCATTCTACCTTAATGTTATTCCCCCACCCTGCTACAGCCCTGAAACCTTTATCTAAATTCTCGTTTGTTGAAGGACAAATGGCCAGCAGTCCTCTCTTTAGGACAATACCATCGTTACTAGGCAAAGTACTGATGTTTATTAATACAGCATCTTAGCTTTGGGGAACAGCACACAAAGGTAGCAAACTTCAAAACCACAGATTTTAACATTTAAAAAAACCCCAACACTTCTCTTAAAACAAGTAAGATTTTGATATAACAGTCCACTAAACATAGTCAAATAACCAAAGATTAGAAACGGAGATTTAGCATAGCCTGTAATGAACCTTCTCCCCTACGCCATACAGCTCACAAAGGAAACAGGGCATCTGTGTTACTGAAACACTACATAGCAAGTATTCTGTTTTTGAGTCAGTACTACAAGAAGCACCTGAGCCAAAAATGGGCTTAATGATTTGTTTCTCAAAAGACCAGATAAACTGTGAGAAAACAAACATGGCCAAACCTGCAGAGGCAGTGATCACATTTCTCTATGGCATCTTAATCTGTTCCAATCAGACAAACACCATAGTTTGACAACAGAACACAGTCCTTACTAATAATGTTTAAAGTATTTAGGGATTTCTTGTAACTGTAGATATTCTTTAACTTAGATGGTAAAGCCAAGGGAACAGTTATTGCATGGAAAACTGCCATATTCAGTTGTTTGCAAGTATCTTTGAACTTAATTAAGAATTCTAGCTTGTTGCTTGCAAGATTAGCCAGGCCAAGTTCCAAGAAGCCCAAGGAAAGACAAAAACAACACACTTGCAAAACACAGGGGGAACTTATTTTTGTACAACGTAAAGCTATTTCTCTACCTGTAATCTTGAAGATGCTGTAAATTTATGTCCTGAACATGAAGTCGACAGACACAGGTATTAAGTAGAATGCTACATATTCCACCCCTATACATAAAGCAGCTGGGGTGTAGTTTGGAAGGCCAGGGTTGATATTCCACAATCAACAGAACCCTGAGATGTTTCCAAATATAATACTGAATGCAGACTTTCATGCTAAAAACTCCAATAAACAGTGCAACTGAACTGCCCCCAGATGCAAGTGAAAGGAAGCATCAGGTGCAAAACAGCAAAGCTTTTTCCTTTTGACCATTAGATATATAACAAATACTCAAGTAGAGGAAAAAATTTCAACCTGTTCAACATAATGGCACAAGTTATGCAATCATGCAGCTTTAATCTGCTGCCAAGTTTGACAGGTTGTTTTCCAGACATTATTGTTAACAAAAAAAGAAAAAACAAGATGCTGTTTGTTTTGTGACTTTAGCATATGCTTCAAAACTAGAGAAATTTGGGATGAAATGAGCATATAAGCTTTATAAAGAAGAACGAACTCCAATCTGCTCAATATTTTGAGTGGGAAATACCATACGCTCCGAAACAAACTACTGTATTCTTTAATAAGGGTTAAAATCATAGGCAGATTAATAAATGGGTTCCCTTGGAAAACAGTGGGTTTCCCCTCGCAGGTGGGCAGCATTCTAGCCTGAGGGGTCCAGGAGTGGGACACGGGGCTTGTGTGCATGTGCATAGCTTCACACATGCATGTGGTCAGGAAAATATGTGGGCAGCATGGAGAGTAGCTCCCTGCAGGTAAGTGTATGGGGGGGAAGTGGCATGGGGGCGGGGTAGATCGAGGCTCCCACAATGAGGGTGGGAGTGGGACAGGGGACTCTGCTCATCCAGAACAGTGCATGGGATCCGGAGATGGGGTGGGGACTGGAATGGAACCATGGGCAGCTTGTCCAGGGGGCGCGGGGGGTGGGAGGGAAGGCTGCTCCCCACTGCTGTGCACATCCCCCTGGGGAGGCGTGGGGGACCACACGTCCCCCCCAAATTTGTGTGTGGGGCAGACATGAGCTGCTCGCTGTGGGCTCAGGGCTCTCAACTCTCTTGCCTTTGCCTTGGGGCCCCTGTGCCAGCTGCATGCTCCCTGCCCACCCGGCAGCAGTGGGGGTGGGAGGTGAGTTGTGCCTTCTACTGCTAGGTGGGCAGGGGATGTGTAACTGGCATGGGGCTCCTAGGGCAAAAGCACCAGAGCAGAGAGCCCCAGGCCCACAGTGGCAGCCTGCATTTTCTCTTGTTCTGCTTGTCTCTGCTCCAGCCATGGCAATGAGGAGGGAAGAGAGGTGGGCATGTGCCACCCCACTCCCAGCCCGGCTGGGTCCACCCAGCTTCCCCTGCAGGGCATGGAGGCCCGCCCCACCTTTGGCAGCACCAGCACCAGGAAGGGAAGAGGCCTCTTCCTCCCCGGAGCCCAGTGTCCCAGTAAATCTTAATCAGCCACTGGTTACAATGGCAAAAGATCACAGACAAAACTGATTTCTGAGACAGAAACAGAGATGTTCCCCCATGCTAACCCTAGAGTCTGAGTGATTGTGAAAGGCTCTCCAAAGGCAAGAACTTATGCCAACCTTCAAATTTTTCACAAAAGCTGCTTGTTCTAAGATTGGATTTTTTACTCCATTGAAAAAAGATGCATAAAAATCTCTCCCCACTGTGGGAAATAATATTTATAATTGAGCATATATTATAAAATCAGGACAAAACAGTAATCAGGAGTAGATTGACAATTCTTGGGACCAGCTTGTATCTCAAGAAATAGATTATAACTCTCCAACCTAATATTTAGTTTTCTGGGGAGATTAAATTTATATGGTACATATGTAAAACAAACATTTAAGTTGTTACTGTTATTAATTTAATTATTCCAGGATCAATTTAATACCTTTCTTTCAAAAAGTGGATTGAAACTATATGATCAGTCTGTGAGTTAGACATATTTGCTACTACTTTGCTTATAACTATGCCTTAATGTAGCAAGCAATGGATATTTTCACCTTGAATGTACAAACATCCTTTAAAGCTTTTCCCCATACTTAGCTATCTGACATACCTGTGACAATTTGTTCAATGCATGTTAGTGGGACATCATGTTCACCAAGAAGGAGGTTTTTATAATGGAATTTCTGAAAGACAAATTAATGACAAAAAGTAGGAATGTGGCAGTAATATTTTTAGCCCTATATTTTACAAACGTAGCTAAGAGAAATCACTGTTGACTTAGATAAACACAAATAACAAGTCAGTATTTACTGCGCATGTCAACCTCATCACAAATCATAATACTCTATAAAGGTGAACACAATGCAAGGTGGAAAAAAATACTCCTGCCATTTAAGATTTAAAAAAAAAAAAAGTTACTGCAACTATTAAAAAAACAACCAAACAACTTGGAGACCTGTCAAGGGAAAGAAAAAAAGCTTTATTTTGATATTGTTACATAAAATAAATCAAATAAGTGGTTCCTGCTGAAAGTAGTTATAAATCTACGCAGGTATGTAGTTCACTAGACAGGTTATGCTGCTCTGAGAACACCATATGAATAAGATGCTGTAGTTAGTTATTAACTTCTGTTGCTTCATATGCTTTTACAAATGCAGAAATTATAATCAGCTTTATTTTACAGACAACTGAAAACTTTATTCTCTATGAATTTAGTCTAGCCTCAAAACAATTAAACTAGAGCAGAGAAATGTCACTGGACGACCTTAAATCTACCTAACTGGATCACAGGTCACCTAGAGAACAGTGTTTGTTTTTTGTTTTTGGGGGGTTTTTTTGGTAGAAAAGAATGAAAGCCAAGAAACAACTGAATAGCAGAAATGGTTCTGGCAGGGTAGATTTACTCTTTGTAGACCAAATCAAAGATGCATAAGCTTTCATAAACAAAAACTTATGCATCTGACATGTTAATGGAAATGCAACATGCCTTACAGTTCTTAATTAGAGGTTCCCAAAACTAGAACAATATTTTTGCTAAAAACAGCATAAAGCTTCATAACTACTTGTTAGAAGGTGCAGCCTCCAGAGAACTGAAACCCCAGCTTCAAGTAAGCAGCAGCTTACAGGTTACCTGGCCAGAAGGTTGGGAGACAGCTGCAACTGATAATTAATGAACAAGGGTGACCCTACAAAGAGGGTTAAAAGCTCCAGAAGCAGAACGGGAGAGGGAAGGCTATGTTGCTGAGGGAGTAGTACAGTTTGACTTGCTCTCTGAGGGTCAGAAGAAAGGCTACAGGATTTGGTCTGTCTGTACACCTTTTTGTTGTTTCATTTGTATGAGACAAGTTTGCCCCCATGAAAATAAACTGTCTGGAAAACCTAGAACAGAGAGCTGACTGGCCATGAGAAAGAAGCTGGGCGAGTGACTGGTTTACACTGCCATAGCAAAAACTGTAAAATTTTGTTTTTGTTTCATAAACATACAAAATAAGCCACAGCCTTTTGTTGCATGTGCTAGCCATGATTGAATTAAATTCCTTCAAAACTTTAGAAATTTGGTTTTGTATGTGCAAAGAGAGTAACTATGAAAATCCTTAAGTCTACTATAAAATGTGTTTAATGTAGGACTCTTCAGTTTTCAAATGTTAACATTGTGTTGTAATGCTTAACATTACTAAGGTTGTGATCCTTGTATATTTTTTGCCTCAGTGAAGCAATGGTTTCTCCCTTTTCTATTAAAACAATCTTAACTGTCACTTTTTGTCTACAGTGACATGATACTTCTCTCTTTAAAAAAAATAAAAAACCCTGTTTTCTTATTGTCTTCAGAGAGATGGATACATGCTATATCAGAAAAATGGGGGTAGAAGGGATCTTGTGGAAACTATCTAATTCAACCCTTGCTACTAAGGATCGCATATGGCAAAGCCATCCCAGACAAACAGATGTCTGATCTGCACTTATAAGTCCAATGAAGGAAATCCCACCACTTTCAGAATTAGGAAGTTGTTCCTAAAATTTGTTGCAAAATTGATGCTAACTGAAAGCTCTCTCTCGTTCTCGCTCTCTCTCACTATTAAAGAGATGAGTCTTTAAAACATCATTTCCTAAAGAAGTCAAATAGATGGAAATAGACCAGGTGGACTTCCATCATTAATTCCCTCTGCTTTAATACTGTAGTTGAAATGATGTGCTCTAGTAAATACAAATAGAGTAAATTTGGAGTGGAATACCAATAACGTCTGAATTGGCTATTTAATTTCACCTTTGAAGTCCTTCACCTTTGTTTTATAATATGCTGCAAGTGAGAGAGTCTAGGAGATTTAGTACTATTTAAATAAAATTATTAATAAGATGGAAGTAAATAAAGTTACAATGTGTCAATTATGGGAGGAAAAAACTCAAAAGACATACCTGAAGTGGCATAGGATCATCCGTAATAAAGGAAGTCTTAAAGTTAGTACAAACCAGTTTCCCCCACAAATCGTACTGACTTGTATCTGTTGCAATGCACTTTCTCACAAAATTAACTTCGTTTACCACAATTTCACCTAAAACAGAAAGAGGAAAAGAGAAAAGCGTAAGGTAAGAAAACTTAAAAAGTTTAATGACAAATGACCATATTGCTTTACATTTTTCAAATAGTAGGCTAGAAGCTATACTAATTTAACTTGAAATTGAATTCTGTCTAGCTGAGATGGGCTCATTTTAGCAAAAAGGTCTTCTCATTTTATTAGGGCTAAAATAGAGACTTAAGCAGTAATACCTCCCCCTTCCCTGCAAAAACTCAGCCACTGCTCTAGACAATGAGGTAAACTGCCATCTGTTTAAACATGAGTAATAGTTTAAAAAATATTTTATTTTAAGAAATACTCCAATAAATTCATGAAATCAATCTCTACAGACTTCTTTAAAATTATATTCAAATCTCGCTCATTTTTCTTAGTCTGAAGGATACAAACTGAGGCAATTGTCAAAAGTGAAATTCTCATTTACACATCTAATTCTTTATTAGTCCTCATTGTGAACCCATAAAAGGAAATGGAATAAACTACAAACACATTAAATAAGATGTTACTCCTTTTCAAAGCTTCTACTGTCAGTTGCTAATGAATGACATTAAGAAATCTGTCTAGCAAGAGGTTACTTAACATGAATATATGTAAATTTATTCATGACTTCCTGGACAAAGACTTCTAGTAAGAAGAATCATGTAAGAAAAATCTACCCTTTAAGAAAGGATTGTATGGGTAGAAAAGAAGACAACTCAGTAGCACCTGGAACAGAGGTTTCTATAACTAAATCAGTGACAATACCACCCTTGCTTTGGGATGTGCAATCTATCACTTGCTGCTGAGCTGTCCAACTTCTGAAGGGCCACATGCGTTGAGGACTGCACCAGCAGGGGTTATACACAAGCCACACCAAAGCAAGCCAGGAGCCATGTAGGCACCTGCTGCTGCACCATATGCCCACTGTGTGCTCACCCACCTCCAACCCCACCTCCTACTTCCTGTGCTGTGCTACACTGCTCCCTGGGGCAGGGGCAGGCTGAGGAAGAAGGAAGGGGAGTCCAAAGGCTCCAGCTATTTTTGCAGCTGCAGTAATGGGGAGGAGGGGGGAAATGGTAGCAGAGTGGGAGCCCAGGGGCTGCCACTCAACTCTTCACAGGCCCCAGGCTGCCACTTTAACCATCCTGACTTACTAAAGGTCCAGGCATGCAGAAAGTTCCCTTCCATCACTGAAAAGTCATATCTATTCTATTATTCACTTCTGCTGGCTGTCAAACATGACAAATCCAAAATTTAACTTTCTAGTGGTTTTTGTTAGTTTTTAAAAGTCTAAAGGGTGGGGTGGGGAGAGAACCTTAATCATGAGTGACTTCATCATCTTGGGTAATTCACTCTTGCAGCTTGAACTGGGGCCTGGAGAAGTTCAGCACCTCCCAGGTGAAAACCTAGCTGCTCATTAGACTTTACCACTAGCTGCTTCATTTATTGGTGCTAAGTAGCAGAAAAACTCATGGACAGAATTAGACAACCTGAATAGGTCACCCATTGTCCACCTAGATGTCAGTAGAGGATTAGCTCTACAGAGTATTTTCTAATTTTCACTCAATATACTTAAAATTTAAGAACAGGCAACATTTAAAACACATGAATGTTGCAAAGTATTCAAAATTGGGAAATACTCACCTCATGTATATATTTTTTTTGGTATGTGTGGGGGTGTACACAGCCTGTTGTTGTATTAAAATATACATACAGGCTGCTTTTCCCACACATACAGAACCCCTGCCTCCATCAATAACCTGCCTGGGAGATTAACTAGGATGGTATAGCAAGAGATTAGTTAAAAGATGCATAGTGAACAACACATGGGATGGCAAGAAGGGAATATGGTTTCATGGGTGCAGACAGCTGAAAGCAACTGCAGGAAACTAAAGTACATCCACACACTACAAGGCAGTACTATGTAGGGAGACTTGAGCTGGCTGAGATACAGTAAGCAGTCTAGCTGTGTTAACGGAGCATTTTGCCCAAGTTAATTGGCCAATTTCAGGCAGCACAAGTCAGCTCTAGTACCCAAGCAAATTCAGTTAGATTAGGGATTAGTACATGTTACTGTACTGCCATGTAATGGTCTCTTGCATTCTATCCTTGCCTCTGCTAAAAGAGCTCTCTATGATGCTGGGTAAATCAAATGGTTATTAACTGCTTCTTATTTCACTGATGCATAAATGGAGAATTTTGATTTTTTTTTCTTTCAAAAGGGCTTAACTCACAGTTGGAAGTAAAGATAATGGGAGCTGTGCTTGGAACTTGTAAAGTGCTGTATAATGCCAGGTATGCTGAAAAACACTGCTCGATCTAGCTAGAGTGGGGCAAAGCTTTGAGAACTGAAAGCAGGGACTCTTTCTTCTGTTTCCCTGCTGATTGCCCTGCTGGTACCTTACTGTGGAGGAGGAAGCTGACTAATATTCAGAGGCTGAACTGTACATCTTTTAATTTAATTTCTGTGCTTCAGGTCCCCATCTGTAAAAGGTAAATAAGTCCCCTTCACAGGGTGTTAAGAAAATGTATTAGCCTGAGTGCTTCACAAGTGTTATAATAATGTCCACCAAAGACCTAAGGAGGAAAACAATTCTCTCTTCAAAGCAGAACTTAGAGCATGCAGTTAAATATGTAAAGGGGCTACATGCTGAAAAAGGGAAAAATAAATTACTGAACTGATGCTCAAGTAATAAGCACTGTCCCTTCCATGCACTGAAAGACATGGGGTCCTGGGGGAAGCATGTGATCATGTAATTAAATATTACTTTCAAGGCACATGAACAAGGGGCCACAAAACAGCTATATAGATGTCTATTATTTTTGCATTTGGTAACTTTTGAGTCCTTGACTTTGCAACTGCCATAATGTTCACCTAGCAATTTTTGTATGTTTTCTTTGTCGTCTGAAAAAGCAAACCAGAAACAGCAAAGTCCACCATGGAGCATCATGTGCCATCCCAATGAATCATCAGCAGGGCTGGGAGCCTTCAACCATGTCTATGCTGCGCCTGGCACTACTCTGAAAAAACAAGCTCTACCTACTCCCCCTGCAGATGCCCAAGCCTAGCAATTGGGCAGTACATACAGGTTCTAGACATCACCAGCATGCATGCTCTGTTGGCACTTTAACTTTCTATCCTAGTCTCCCTCAACTCTCTGACCATGTCTTCTCTTTCCATCTACTTTCCCCAACACTCCACTGGTTTGCAGAATTAGTTTCCTTCCCCAGCCAGTCCCAGTCACTTCTCCATCCTTTGCCCCAAGACCCAAGCTTTGTCTTATTCCATTCTCTAAATCACCCCTTTAAAGCTCCAAATCTGGCTTGTCACCTCTGAATTCTAGACAGACAATTTCTTCCTCCACGCTGTCAGGTGCCAGTAAGACAGTCAGCAAGGAAACAAAAGAAAAAGTCCCTGCTCTGAGTTCTTGTAGCTTCACTCTAGCAAGATGGAAGCTGTCACTGTGAGAGAGCCCAGCTTCATCCCTATAGCCCTGGACAGAAGCATCCTTGGCTCCTTTAAGAATGCCACAGTCTCGTCCTATTTAGGTGCAAAGGCATGTTCCATACTTCGAGATCACTTGTAAGGTACCAGCAAACACTATGCTAAATTTCTCTTTACGTTTGTGACAAACTTCAAGTATTTGAATGCTATGTTCCCTCCCCACACAAACTACATTAATTTTAACTATGCCCTCTTAAACTAGTCAATTCCTACAGACTCCTGATGCCACATGCACCTTTCCCCCACAACTCTGCCCCCCAAAATTGTGGTGCACGTCATAAGTAGGGAAGCTGATTTTTTTTTCTGTAGAAGCGCTTCTGATTCCTGCTCCACAATGCAGCAGCAGCAGTGGCATTACTATCCAGATGACTGAGGGAGTCTATTGACCTAATGGCTCTTTGCCTATTACTTCAGAGGTCTTAATGATCACTTCTCCTTTTTATAGTTTATCACAACTAATCAAACTAACCTTTTTCAGGGTAATTCTGCTATATGCTAGCTGTTCCTCATCTCTGTTCTCCTAATTTCAGGCCTTGGAACTCTTTTTTTTCCAAATCAGAGATCCACCACAGAGACCAGTCTTCAGCACCAGCCGCCAGGATTTTAGTTTTTAATTAAGGAGGATAAGTCAGCTGAAGATTAGGCCTACCCCTGCTCCATGAAGCCTTATCTAAAAAAACCCCAAAAACTCTTCCCCCTTTTTTCTGCCTTACCAAAAACAAGGTGCATGTCTTATGTGGAGGTATATTGTGTGTGAGAAAACATGGCCATTCTTGCTCTTCTCTTAACTTGTCCAACTAATTAGTATTTTTCTAACTGGTGACCAGAACTCACCACCCTATAAGGTTGGACTAGAGCTGCAGTTTAATATATCTAATCTTTTCAGCATGGTATCTCTTCCTGCTCTGTCAAATGGCACATCCGTAGGATGTTCACTGATTACAATTGTTCAGGATTCTGTTTTAGTTCTCTTGTTCATAGCATTTTAAGAGTTGTACTAATGAAATATCTCTGGTAATTTTAAGGAACCTTCAATATCTTTCCCCTCCACCTTCCCCAAATTAAAGAACTTTTTTTTTTCTTCCATTACCAGTCTTACTACTTGCAAAACCAGTTCTCATTTTACTAGTGAGAATCTACCAACATTTGGAATATACCCAGTAGACCATGATCTTCATTACAGCCAATCCTTCTTGCTTCCTCGACATCTTCTCCAAATTTGCAGAGCAGCACAGAAACCTTATTATTCACTATTTCAAAATAACTTCCTTGTGCGCCTTATTTTTCACATCTTAAATACATACCAGATCTTTTGATTAATAACTTCCCTTCTGCTCTACCCTATCCTGCTCAACATTTACATTAGGCACTGAAGTCACTAATAAGTCTGTCCATTTTGAACTTAGGAGTTAGGTTATCTAGCCTCTTCAAAGTAGTTAGTATGCAAAATAGTATGCTTTCAACCTCAACATATAAGCATTTCTGCAACCAAATC